GAGGTACGGTAGACTACGGGATCGGTAGTGTAAAAGACTGGATAATTTCTCCGTTTCACAATCCGTTTCTCAAATTGACACATTTCTAACACGATATCCGGATAACCCATCGTCTCAGTTCTCCATTTTTGTTTCGTGCATTCATCTGCCTTCGTTCCCCCAATTTCTGCTTAACCCCATTTTGATACTTCGGACCATGTTTTGTTGCAGCTTCAGTTAATTTAACAAAATCCGTTCCATGTCACGAGTCGTCGTATTTCCTCCGAACCTCTTATAATTATGAAAATAGTGACTCCAGAAAACTTATTCGTGATATGCCACATATTTACATATATTAATTAACTACCCGGTTATCCTGCGCTCCAGAAATTGCAGATTCAGTTAATCAAGCAAGACCATTACTAACATGATTGCATATCCAGAATACGGTGATAGCTTAAAAACATAATTCAAAATGTTTGGGAATTTTTGAGACGGTTCATGTATTTTTCTATATACCGTTTTTTGTAGTAGACAAAATTGTTGTCGATATTCGAAATGCGGCACAAAAAGTGAATAGAGGCTTTGAAATATAAGGACACGTTGCGCCACATAGTGGCAAATTTTGATGACGTCATAGAACTCAAACATTAAAAAATAGCCCTTAGCGAAAAATATAATCTTTACTCACTGAAAATTTCAAAGCAATTGGTACAGTATTCGAAGAGAAAAGCGACTTTATATTGATGACAAAAAATAACAACAAGAACAACAACAAAATATTGAAACGAACGTGTCCAATAACGGTTTTAGCCATCTACGGCAGCGTTTTCGAAACTGGGGACCGCGCAACCCTGGGGGTCATTGACAACTGCACAGGGGGTCCGCAACGATATGGAAAGAGTCTGAAACGTATACATTTCAACGTATATACATTGTCACATAATCATTCGTATATGAGATAAAGTCATAAGTTTACACAATCGCAAATCCTTATTGTTACGAAACCTTAACAATGGGAGTTAAAAAGCTGTTGTAGAACGATTCTTGCTTTTGGCGTCTGTGAGGTAGACCTTCGTCACAGAGCTACATCGTCGTAATAATTGATTGTATGGGTTACTGAGTTATCACCAGTCTATAACTGGTGCGACTTTGCCAAGGTCATTTGAGCCCGTTACCGTTGTTGCAAGAAAGGGACATGAAACGAAATTAAATCAGATTTTTATGCGTTTTATTTTGTCAAAGAAAACATTATCTTTTCTCGTTGTTTAGGCACAGAAACTGTTTATTGAATGCATAAAATCTTCACTATTAATATCTTCTTTTGTGTGAATCAAAAGCATGGGCGTTTCATACTAGTTGAAATTGATAATGTTACTTGTAATCTTTAAAATTTACTGGCATGCTGAAGCGAGCATGTAGAAGGGTGAAGCTTTATATTTTCCCATCCATTCTTCCACTTGGCGAAAGTATTGTGGACATGGAGTGCATCGTCAGCAGTCGACTTTGAACTCTCTTTGAACACTTGAACCGCTCTCCCTATTAATATGCAAGAGAATTTAGCTGAAAATATTCTGTATTGCTATATGCTATTGTAACTCTAGGCAGTAATTCAAGAGACGACAGCGTCTCGTTGGGGACTATAAAATATCAATCTTGTATTACTTAAAGAATGAAACATATTACGATATTTTGTTGCAGCGCTCAAAGTGAAGTTATAAAACATACTACCATCTCTTTTACTGGACCTAGTTTAGAATTTCAGATGAAAAATTAAAATAAAACAGACTTTTTCATTGAAAATTCTACGCCTGACCAGCATGAATCACTGATAAATTTTCTGTCATTATTATATATATCACATGCGAAATAGCCCGTATAATATTACTCTGTACATCCATTTTCATCAAACAAATAGGGATCAGAAAATGTTCTCTCATTGTCAATTTATTTTACCAAAAGAGGGTATTTCAAAATAATTCCAATGTATCATTTTTTTCTGTTTCGGCATATTCAAGTTAATTGCATGATAGACAAGATGAAATCACTGTTTACTGAATGGAAATTTTGAACAACATCGTTCTCTCCCTACGATTTTTTGAATACTGTTACGAACATCTACAAGTTGTCAAGTCCTTACCGTTTTCATTGCACCAAGCATGAATGAGCACCTTTCCATCACATGAATAAAAGACATGATCCATATCCATGAATGAATTGAATTCTAAATTATGTTCAAATGTATTTGTTTTAGTTTTATTTAAGTAGTTTTTATTTGATCCGCGTTTCAAACCAAAACCTTGTTTTTTTTATCATTTTTTTCCGTATCAGTAATTGATCTAGTGGTTGAAGAGAAAAGTGAGTTTTTCACAACAATCACAAAACAACAAAGCGATGCTCAAATATATAGGCACAAAGACCAAAATTAAATAGTATCAAATCTGTCACAGTACAGGCAGTCTGACTACTAGATCACAACAACATAATAACAAAACGATCCATGTGTCCACACACTTCGTGTCCAATAACGAAGAATATACATGGGTCGGCGACAGCCTGCGTCAAGTACCTACGTCTACGTATATTAGAATTCGAGACGATTGCTAGACTTCCCACCGTCGAAGAGTGGTTCACGTAATGACTTGTCGGAGGCGGCTTTTTTGGGCCTATACGGGCAAGTCATCGCAATACCTGTGGCGTTTCGAGAAGTATATTGACAATAAAAATCGATTAAGCAAGTTTTAACATTCACTTTTGTTATTTTGGCATATTTAATACAAATGAAACGGATAAAACGGGTTGTTAAACGGGTTGTTAATTTTGAATTATATAGTGCATTTGCCAATTTCAATAAAAAAAAGTGTTGGTTACTAAACACCACATTTAGTAGAATCCTCATCGTTCCCTGTTTTCTTCCCTTCAGCAATGAATTTGTCATGCAGTATCAGGTCTAACAAAAGAGTTTAAAAGAAGTTATTTTCTTGTGATAATCCATATTATAATAATGATTATTATAGTATTCACGACAAAACAATACTTCTTCCGCCACTGTATACTTCATGTAAATATGCGTCACATATGCGATGGTATAAATAAAATATGAAACAATTTTAGCAATATGGATAGAATAAGGACTCATTTTTACCGAGGGGATGGGAAGAAAGATAGTGGAACAGATCAACCATACGAAAAAAGCGGGCGACAGTCAGATAGCTTGACAACAATTAAAATTCAATGCGCATTATGCTTTAGGAAAATACTGAAACAATCAGCAAATTACCCTGCTATATATTGTCTTCTGTCAAACAATAGGTCAGGCCACGGATTTGATCATCAGCTGCTCTATACTACTATTCAACTAGTCTACTACTATTCCACTCTATACTACTTGTTTGAACTAGACAATCAAGGTCGCTTATACCTTCACGAGCTTCTTCCGATATGACTATTTTGTAGGTGCCTGTGTTTTTCTTTTAAAAAAGGCCATCGAAAGAGGCGGGACCAAACGTTTCACTGAAATGTTAAAAATAATTCAAATTGTGCGTTTTAAATAGCTTACCAATATACGTTGTAATTTTCTTTAAGATTTCATCACATATTGCCACACTTAGTTATTTCCACTATGCATGATAAAATATATAACATAACACAACAAGTCATATTTCGCACCCAGGAGTCAAGCTACTACTATTTCTGATTTGACTACTTTTGTCCAAAGATTAGTGAAGATCAATGAACATTCGCATGTCACTCAAAATAGTCTCAACCCTACATGTAACATTGAAAGCCCTTGACATGTTACAATAATTGTTGTATTTTTATTTTATTTTTTTCAGTTAATGTATTGTGTCTACAAATTATTTTAGAAAAACTCAATCGAGTCTGTATAAACTCCGACCTTTGGAAATAATATTATAATTCAAAAATTGTATATTTTCAGGGATGTGCCATTACATTTGTTGTGCATATATTTATGTTATTGCATATCATGCATATTGGTATTTAAAGATTATATTCAAAATTAATATTGAATATGATATTTGCATTCCGTTATATGTCCATGCATCTCGCAAATTATACACAATCATATTACTGAATATGTGAAGTATTGAAACAAACCATGGTTGGCAGCGTTCAAAGACTTTGGAATTGAAATAAATAGATATACATTTGCTATTAAAAGTTTTTTGTATGAATAACATTATTGTAAATTCATACGAGTAACTCGTAAAATTTATTTTTATCTGCTGTGTGTTGCATATAGATCGTATGTTTGTTAGAGTTCGACATGATGTTACTTCGTTGAACGGATCATTGTTGCCAAATACCTCGTATGACTTGTCCGGCATCTGAACAGAAGTAATATAGGATCATACTGCTTAACTTGTATCTGAAGAAAAATAAAGGTCCGAAGATGACATATTCTACCAGGTTTTTTACAAAGATTTGTTTCAAGCTCAACTTGAGATAAATAAATAATAGGAAAACTTAGAATAAATCGAAGCAATGCGATACTACGAACAATGAAGTACAATATTGTGGGAAGTATATTGGATTCAAAAATTAGTTTTAACCCATCAAAATCTAACTTAAAATGAATAATGCGCATATTCTTCCGAAATCGTCCTTTTTAACTCTTAGACCCTTTCTCTCCAAATCTGCTGTACAGTAAAAAAATACTGATGTACAAGAAATCAAAATCCAGCACACATTTTCTTTTGGTATCTTGAGTTTATTAATGCCTCTAGTCCCGTGCAAATCTTTATTGGGAAAAGGGTGTTAAGAATATACTGACCTGTTCAATGGGAATATATTTTTATCTATTTTTCGTTCATACTCATAAATTACATTCTCTCGTCGGTAATGAAATATGCACCGAAGTAGTGATTATCTTTATCCTGGTTTTAGCTTCAGTCATAAATGTCATTCATCACATTATTATCAGGGCTTTTGGTGTATAAACACGACTGGAATCACGGATCAACTTTATTTTCAGTTTGTTTTCAAAATAAATTACTCACTTGCTCCCATGCTGTTTCACATGTTATCTCCGGCAATATACATGTACTTGCACATGTCGTCACAGCGAGGGCAGAAACAATTGCAAGATGGATAAACATCATGGAGCGATCGCTGATTTGCTGAAAGACTATACTCACAGAATATTTATGTAAACGGTCTCTTTTTCTCGAATGAAAATCGCCACAAATCTTTCTGATTTCATATTGGTGTGTATACGTATATTTTTGTGTATGGTGAGAAATCGCACACAAAGATTCATGACACGTTGTGCGTGCGCACGTCTCGCCTCTGCATCCTGGCCTCTTCGATTGATAATCTAGGAAAATGTGGAATCGTGTTACCGGCTCCTCCTTGATCTGATGAATTTCTGATGACAGCTAATGAATTTGCAACTGTTCTGTCCAATGTAGCAAGATCGAGTGACGTGACGTGGGCTTATTCTTAGTTTGAATGTTATCGCAAATCTAATGCATTACATTTAATTAAGTATAACTCATATATTTTGTATAGTTTTCAACGTTAGATATCTTAGGTATGTCATAATACAAATAACTTTCTTTCAAATTTATCATTCACTGTGTGATGACGAATAGTCGAACAATTCAATCACACTTATTGCAATTATGTAGTATTTAAAAAATGTGTTGAAAAATAGTCAAGTTTTGCCCAACCCAAGCTGTAGCTATATCACTTGCAATGACGTCATTACCCAAGATTTTCGTAGCCTCAATTCGACCGGGTAGATGTAAAATGTATTGCTCAGGTAGCTGGATAAGCAACTTACCCCTAAATGCAGTTCTAAACAAATCTCAATCAATGACAGGTACTTACTATTATATCGGTATCAGGGCAATCAATCTGTTCCTACCTTTAATTTCTGAGCACCAACCTTTACTGAAATGGCAAGAAGGCTGGAAGAATTTCCCTGTCACAAGGACTACTACACAACACTCACTTCAGATTTTGACATACAACGCATGGAAGATAGTGTAACATGAATTGATTGTTACATCCTGACAGGAAGTGCGGTTCAAGTGTTCAAATGGAGTTGAAAGTCAACAGTTAAAGTTGCACCTTATGTTCACAATACTTAACTTTCAACATGCTCACAATAGCAAGACGCTATTATGAGAATACTATATTTACCCTTCTTAAAGTGGATGTTTTATTTGAATACAAAATTATGACTGTATCAGATGCTATATAAGATTGAAATCCATATCCCAAAGGGCTAGGCAGCTACACGGAAAGTTGAGTTTAGTTGGCAAATTTTGTAAAACGTTTAAGGAAATTTGAAACTTCGCAGTTGATCCACAGACCACTTTGGGCCCAGAACCTTTATTTCGGAAAAAGCTGCATTTCCAATATTGAAAACAATATTTATGCACATCCAAATCATCTGAGAACAGTATATATATGGAACGTTAGTCCCCCAACTATGCACTAAGGTACACTGGTGTGCCGTGAGATGTCATCAGGTCCACCGGGAAAATAGTAGTCAGGCCAACCGAAAGTATAGTTTGTAAAGGTCCATGCTCTCACAGTGTTACGGCAGTGTTACACCATGATTTTCAAAAGGGGTTGAAGGCTTAAATTTACACATTCAAAGCCTAGAAATTCACATGCAAAGGTTTCCTGAATATGACCGTTGAAAAAATCAAGAGATCTGGTATAAAATCTGAAAGAGTACTCCCGCTGGGCTCCCAAAACAAAATTTGTTGTTTTTCTTTTTCTTGTTAGTTTTTTTGTAATAGCGTGTTGAGGATGATTGTTTTTCCTATGTACATATTTTGATGTATCTTGTCACTGCACATTGGTATTTGCATATTATTTCACGTATTGAGAATTGTGTTAGGTATAAGCTTATGATCCACTAATTCAGATGACTCGATTGAGATAATAATTTGTGATTGCGAACAGTTACATTAGGCACGTTGGGACAGTCACCTTGTTCTCCAGTATTTGGTTGAAGAGTCTGTTGTATTGTATTGTATCTTTTGTATTGTAGATTTAGTGTTAACTTAGTAATTAGGTTTGTAACCTAAACTGCATTTATTGTGCATTTAGTTATATATGTATCTGATTAAATAAGGTTTGGAAGCGTTGTAGTCCAAACTATTTAAAATCACATGACCTCACACGACTACATACGATTGGCCACAATATCACTTTATATGTTGAATGGAGTCAACAAAGCAAGTTTATTTCGGAACTTTGTCTGGTTGTGTGCATGAGAAATTCAGCGTCTGTCAGGCTCAGCGTATTCAAACCCAGAAGGCAAGCTTCCCATTAGTGACTCAACAGAAGAATTCTTGACACCACAAAGACTTGCTAATTGAAGTCAGGGAGTGTGTGCTATAGAACTTTTAGTTTCATGTGATCCTAAATTTCAGCCATTATTTTGCTTTTCTATTTTATAAATAGAAGCACCATTATATTCCGTCACACTTGTTTGTTGTTTTATTCAATGAACTCTTTGCAGGGGTCTCCTGCATGGCGTAATAATAACAATGGACACAACTATTCAATAACGAAGTCCCAAATTGTTGAGAGTGCTAGTCTTTCACCAATGCAAAAAAGAAATTCAGCACGTAACTATTGTTTCAGTGCCAAGCAATTGAAAAGAAAAAGCGCAGTATTCCGTGAAATTTCTGAACTTTTCATAATGAAAAATTTGATAAATCGAAAAAAAATTATCATGAAGTGTAAAGATTTTTTGTGTTTTTATGGTAGCCTTAAAAGATTAGAAATCAGATTGTTGAAAAAATTTTTGCTGATAAGCAGCAGCAAGATAAGGGACAACGCAAAGTATAAGAGCGTCAAATAAAAACTCAAGTATGTATTTCAAAGCAACAACATCAAAAAAACTTTTGGTAAAAACAGTTTAACACTGAACTTGACATTTGCTTTGACTTCGACTAATCCGATATCCGGATATCCCATAGCATTCTTCATTTGTGTTTCGTGCATGATTCTGCCTTGGTTTCCCTAATTTTTGCTCAATTTCATTTTGATAATTTGGACGAGTCACACACAGGTCTTCCCTCAACCGAAACTCTTATGATTTTGGAAAACTGACTGAGAATCATACAGCGAACTTATTCGTGATACGCCACGGACTTACATATTTTTGCTACCCGCTGGTCCTGCGCTTCAGAGAATGCAGCAGATAGGATTCTAGAAGCTATTAATCTACGTCTGCTGCATGAACAGCAAAGTTTTAAATTAAGTATACTGTAAGAAAACAAATGTAGTCTTCGTGGAAATTTAAATTTCTATGTAACTTGTAACAAATTTTTAATTGTTACTTGCAAATTATCGAATATGCACCGAATTAATTTTGATTTTGAACTTTGAAGGAACACAGGTATTTTTCCACCTGCATAAAACAATCATCTCATGTTCTCAAAACAATGATATCATCGATATACCCACGAAATATATGCTATTCCAATCTATTTTGCTATATATTTACAATACATTTGACCTTAATTACTGCGCCGATGCTATAAACCGGAAACAATACTAATATTGCTCAACGAAAATTTCTCCTATTAAAAACGAAAAGAACTAGTTTCTGATTGGTCAAAAATAACCTTTCCGAAAAAGTGATAAATAAAGAGGAATAACCGGTTACTAAATGCACAAAATCTTTATTAATAATATCTTCTTTTGTGTGAATCAAAAACATAGGTTTTTCATAATAATTGAAATTGATAATGTTGCTCTTTTCTCAAATTTATTTGCATGTAGAAGGGTAAAGCTCTACATTTTCCCATCCATGCTTCCACTTGGCAAAAGTATTGTGAACATAGAGAGCATCTTCAGCAGTCGACTTTGTACTCCCTTTGAACACTTCAACCGCTCTTCCTATCAATATGCAAAACGAGAATATCGGTTGGAAACCGAAGACTTATCGATCGATAGTTAGGGGATCCCCCAAAACAGAAACTGCAGTTTCGATTCATCCGCTCTTGTAACTTGCGCACTGCGCATCGCACACACACACTCGGCGGGTCTCAAAATTCTCTCGCTTTACAAAAATCTAGATCACTATATCAATAATTGATTGATAACTCGCTAATTATACGACATAATTCGCCCAAAATCAATAGGTTTCTGGTCCGAGATAAGATGAATGCACATGCAAAATTTGGAGCAGATTCAACCTCGCATTCGCGAGATATCGCGTTCATCTAACAGACACACAGACAGACATACATACATACATACATACAGACAAATACCTATCAATATACTTACCGATCTTAAGATCGATAAGTAAAAAGAGTTATTATGTATTGCTGTGTGCTATTCTATTCAAGGCAGTAAGTAATTCAAGAGACAGTGTCTCGTCGGGGACTTTAATATATCGAATTTTGTATTTACTTCATTTACCTTGAGATATTTTCTAGCAACGCTCAAAGTGAAGTTATAAATCATGCTCTCGTCGGTTTTACGGAGCCAAGTTCGATGAAATTTCGCATAAAAATAATATTCGGCTACAACAGTCTTTGCTTGATATTGAAAATGCTATGTATGACCAGCAGGATTCACTGATGAATCTATTGTTGTTATATATCGACCTTGAAAAATAGCAGCTATGGCATTGCTCTTTACATCGATTTTCATTGAACAAAAAGTGACGTGAAAATATCTCCATGCATCATTTTTTTTTCTTTTTTGGTATATTCAAGTTAATTGCACAATAGACGAGATGAAATCACAGTTTACTGAATGGAAATTTTGGAAACAATCTTTCTCCCCTCAAGTTTGTCTACTTGAATACTTTCCTGATCATATACAAGTTGTCAAGCCCTTACCATTTTCATTGCACCAAACATGGATGATCACATTTCCATCACACGAATAAAAGACATGGTCCATATCCAAGAATGAATTGAATTCTAAATTAAGTTCAAATGCATTTATTTTAGTTGGATATTTCCAAAACACCGTGTTTTAAAACAAGGGCTTGTTTTTCATAGCAATTTTCTCCGTATTGTTTTTTATTATTTATTGAAATATCCTTTGGAATGGCGCAAAATACGTCAGAATGGTTTGTTTTGGCGGCCCTGCTAAACACAATCCAAAATCAGGTGGATTGTAAACCGCTCACCGCATAAATTTGGTGAAGTTTTCGTCATTGTGGTAACACAACAAGAGAGCAGGCTCAAATATGTGAACAAAAGGATCAAAACAAAGTAGTAGTAGTAATCTACTACAGTATTGGTAGTCTGACCACCAGTTCACCGAGATGTGGTCACGAAATCACGACACCCAATGTTTATTTTGATGACGTCACCACACAAATCTTCTAAGGTAAAACAAATTCCATAGAGCCAACAGATATCCTCAAATTCCATTTGAATACCTTCCTAGCGACAACAAGCTTCAACCACTGAAACTTTCAAAGAAATTGGTCAAGTGGTTGAAGAAATAAGTGTTGTTGTTTTTTCACAATAATAACCAAACAACAGAGCAATGCTCAAATACATGGATACAAAAGACATAATTAGGCAGTATCAAATCTTTTACAGTACAGGTAGTCTGACCACCATGTCAATAAGATGTGACCACGAAACCCTGGCGCAGTGCGCAATTTTCAATTCTGATGACAACATCGCATACGAAAAACGAACCCTATATGGAGACCACAGACATTTTTGAAAGAAATCAAAATAATAATACTAATAGCGAAATATACAACCTTTCACCACTGAAAATTTCATTGGTCAATTTCATTACAAGTCATTATCCAGTAGTTAAAAAGGAAAAACAATTTTCTCATAACGATGAAAAGAAAAATACCAACAAAAAAACAAAAAGCACAACAACAACATATTAACAAAACGATTGATATGTTCGCTTCGAGTTCAATGAAAAATGATTTCATACGTCCACTTCATGTCCAATAACGAAGAGTATATGGTTGTCTTGGCGGCAACTTGCGTCAAATACCTACTATGTTCAAATTCGAGAAAAGTTCCCGCCGTGAAAGAGTGGTTCACGTAATAATTTGTCAAAAGCTTGTGGTCATATACGGACAAGTAGTGATTGATATCTGTAGCGTTTCGAGGGATATATTGACGATAAGAATTGATTAGGCAAGTTTTAACATTCACTTTTGTTAACATCCGATCAAAAATCCAACCAGACAATGTCATGGCGGGTTAATCTTGAAATATATAGTGAACTTTTCCAATTTTAATAAAAAAAAGTTTGTTAATAAACAGCACCTTTATTAAAATCAACGCGGTTCCCTGTTTTCTTCCCTTCAATAATGAATTTGTCATGTTGTTTTACGTCTAACGAAAAAGTTTTACAGAAAAGCAAATATAAGTTTCATTGTTATGATAATCTATAATACTGATTATTAGTATACGATAAGATTTATATTATCCATAGCATCATCTCCAAAAATTTCTTTCGCCACTGTATACTTCATGTATATATGTTTCACATATGCAAGGACATAAAAAAAAATAAAACAATTTTAGTCATAAGAATATAACAAGAACACATTTTTACGCGGGTCGGGAGAGAGACGATGAGACGGATAAATTATACATGTAGAAAAAGTGGGCGACAATCAGATAGCTTGACAATAGTTAAAATTTGGCCCATGCGCATAATGCAAAGAAATACTGTATTGAAAAACTATATTATAACGAACAGCAAATTACTGAGCTCTATATTATTTTCTGACAAACAACAGATCATCAGCTATACTACTGCTCAACTAGTCTACTACTATTTCACTCTATAGTACTTGTTCAAACAAGAGGATCCAAATCGTTTATACCTTCACGAGCTTCTTCTGATATGATTATTCTGTAGATGCCTGTATTTTGTTTTTGAAAAACGCCATTGAAAGAGGCGTGACCAAACGTTTCCCTAGAATTCGAAAAAAATTCAAATTATTCGTTTTAAATAGCTTATCATGCAAATATAAATCATAATTTTCTTAACATTTTATTACATATTGCTACACTTAGTTGTTTTCACTATGCATGATAAAATATATAACATAACACAATAAGTTATTTTTTGCTCACGGGAGTTAAGCTACTACTATTTATGAATTGACTACTTCTGTCCAAATGAAGTAGAAGAGATCAATAAACAGTCTCATGTCACTCAAAATTGCCTCAACACTACACCGAACATTAGCAGTTCTTGACATGTTACAATAATTGTTGTATTTTATTTTTTCAGTTGTGTCTACAGATGGTTTTGAAAATTATTTTAGAAAATTTCATTCGAGTCTATATAATACCGACCTAAGGAAACGATCTTACAATTCAGAACTTGTATATTTTCAGGGATGTGCCAATATATTTGTTGTGTATATTTATGATATTGAATATCGTGCATATTAATATTGAACGGTTATAGGCTTGCACGTAATTTACGGATTTACGGAATTACGGAATTATTTCGAGTTACGGAAGGGAAGTTACGAATTACGTAAAGTCGTAATTATTGGTCGAGCGCTTTCGCGATTGAAACGAGCTCTCTTCAGAGCAGTCAATTCCGTCGATTGTAAAAAATTAAAGTTTAAGTAAAAGAAGTTAGAGTTCCGGTATTCGCAGCCGTTTCTCTCTCTCTTGTTAGGCAGATGGGGAAGGCATAACGCGTCATTTACTAACCTATTATCAACTTATCTAGGATGGCCAATGTACATATTAACCGTAGGTAAAGAATAGAATTGTGTTGAGACCGATGGACGTCAACACACCTGGTTTCAACTTCTTCGGGTGAAATGACTAAAGAATGTAAGAGATCAACTTATAAAACATGGTCTTTTTGTAAATGCCGTGATAATTAATGTCGCGCTTATCAAACAGCAATATAAAGACGGAAGAGAAATTGCGTAATGAACCGACGCAACTTAGTCTTTTCGGCATCGGTAAAGCGATTGAGACGGCAGAGAAACAACAATACGACGGGATTCCCGGGGGTTTTTCTGCGCGAGATCCATTTTCTATTACAAAATCTTGATGTTCTGTTACCGATTTTATCGTTATATATCTGTCCGGACTTGGCATTTCTCAATATGTTTTTCACAATGCCTCGCAATATGTTGGCCAAATATGATTACCTGTCTTTACCAAATGCGGCAACTTATTTTGATTTATCGTCGACTCGAATACCACCGGCACTCGACCAAACTTGTGTCAATCTTGGCAAATAGGATTGTCGCCTTGAGTTAGAAAAATAAATTAATATTTTCATGAGTGCAAAATAAATGTCACAAAATGCATTGTTTTGCGACATAACTTTGTATTTTCGGAGAAGGCATGCCATATAAGTACGGTATTTTAAATAATGCGCAAATAATTAATATTTGATCTAAATTTATCGCAAATAATGTTATAACTTTTAGGCCGCGAAATGATTTAATGTAGAATGAAGCATGGAATTCGGAATATCGTCAATAAGTCGGCATCAATAACTATCATAAAATGCTAACTAAGTAGTAAAGTCGGATATTGTAGAAAACGGTGAAATAACAAGTCTTCGTCGCGAGGCAAGCGAAAGTATAATCAAACGAGAGAATACGCTTGTAGTTGATTAATAAATTAGCAACCCGGAATTTTTATTTAATACGAAAGTCGTATTAATACGTTAATACGTTTTAAAAAAAATGAACTATCGTTTCCTAAATATATTACCAGTGTTGGTAATGATAAAATTGATCGCATAAAATTTGGTGATAAAGTGGATAAAAAAAATCAAAGCTAATACAAAAGATAAAAATCGGAATAAAATTATTTTGAATTCACTTCTTGATATTTGTCTTTAACATCTGTAGCCGGCGTGTAGTACTGCCGGGAATATGAAAACCAAACTCCGATGTCCCATTCGGAATAGAAGTGGATTAAATTGGTTGTTATGATAGGTTTAAATGTGTGAAAAAAATATCGCAATTACGGGGTCATTACGTAATCGATTTGGCCGTAATTACGGAATTGATTTTTGTCAATTACGTGCAAGCCTAAACGGTTATAGTCTAACCAATATTCTATATGATATTTGCATTTCGTTATATGTATATCTTCATGTATCTTGCAAATCAAAAACTATCAGAAATCCATAATAAAAGTTTGACAATTTATAATGAACTTACGAGTAACTCGTAAAATTTATTTTCATCTGCTGTGTGTTGCCTATAGATCGTATATTCGTTAGAGTTCGACATGATGTTACTTCGTTAAACGGATCATTGTCGCCAAATACCTGGTATAACTTGTCCGGCATCTGAACAGAAGAAACATAGGATCATACTGCTTAACTTGTATCTGAGGAAAATAAAGGTCCGAAGATGACATATTCTTTTTTTTACAAAGAATTGTTCCAAATTTAAGATGAATAAATGAATAATAGAACAACATCGCAATAAATGGCATCAATGCGATACGAGTACCCATGCGAAAATGTATTACTCAGGTAGCTGGATAAGCGTGCAACTCACCTCTGAATGCAGTTCTGAAGAAAACTCAACTAATGACAGGTACTTACTGTCAGTATCAGGGTAATCACTCTGACCACACCTCTAATTTTTAAGCATCAACCTTTACTAAAATGGAAAATTGTCCATTTTTCGCAATTAATCATTTTTCGGTCATTGCGGTTTCGTTGGAAAATGCTGTTATTATCACATGCGCTTCCATCGTGATTGTTCCTTCAAGCGCACAAGACCTTATTATGTAAACCGCATTATAAGCTTTCGCAAACCATATACGGACCTGGTAGCCCGTAGATGATGAGGTGACTTAAGGAGTTTGCTAAGTTCTGTTATTGCCAAAACACAATGAACGTTGAAGATCTTGAGCCACACCAATTTAATATATCCATTTTGCACTAGTGTCAAGTTGCTTGTCATATCATTTTAAAAAATCGTTTCGAGGATTTGACGAGAATAAAAGTAACATGATTATGTTTTGCTATACAGTGTTTAATTTTTTGGAACATCATAAATCTTATTCAATATCTCTGATAAAAAAACACATGTAAATGTTGTACATGATTTCATGGAATAAGTATACATAGCCCATAAATTGAGTAATGAGTTAGCTATTTATTCATATACGACTGGCAATATATGCATATGAATTCATTGAATTGACTATATTTGCATATCATGTTGCAAATGACATCAGATCAGGCATATGAGTTTTCCCCAACATGCATGTATATATCAAATTATCTATTTTTTACTCATAATTATAGATTATATTCTCTCATCGGTGATGAAATATGCACCAAAGCAATGATTACCTTTATGCTAGTTTTTTAGCCCCAGTCATAAAGGCGATTTATCACATTATTATTAATACTTTCGGTGTATAAACACGACTGAAATCTTGGATTTATAAGACCTCACTAACTTTAATTTACGTTTGTTTTTAAATTACCATAAATTACTCACTTGTTCCCATGCTGTTTCACATGTTATCTCCGGCAATATACAAGTACTTGCACATTTCGTCACAGCGAGGGCAAAAACAATTGCAAGAAGGATAAACATCATGGAGCGATCGCAACTCTGATTTGCTGAAAGACTATATTCAGAATATTTACGTCTGTTCAAGCGGTCTCTCCTTCTCGAATGAAAATCGCCGCAAATCGTTCTGATTTCATGTTGGTGTGTTGTATACGTATATTTTTGTGTATGGGGAGAAATCGCACACAATGATTCATGACACGTTGTGCATACGCACGTCTCGTCTCTGCGTCGTGGCCTCTTCGATTGATAATCTGGGAAAATGTGGAATCGTTATTTCCCGCCTCTTTCCTGATCTGATGAATTTCGAGACACAGAAGAGCACTTAAAGGCTGGTGACAGCTAATAAAATTGCAACAGTTCCGTCCAATTTAGTATTAGGCAGTATTATTCTTAGTTTGAATGTTATTGCAAATCTAATGCATTGCATTTAAATAAGTATACATCATATTTTATATAATTTGCAACGTTAGATATCTTAGGTAAATCATAATACAAATAAGTTTCTCTCAAATTTACCATTTACTGTGAAGTGTCGAATAGTCGAACAATTCAATCGCACCTATTGCAATTATGTAGTATGTTAAAAATTGTGTTGAAAAATAGTCAGGTTTCGCCCAACCTAAGCTGTAGCTATATCAATTACGATGACGTCATTACCCAAGATTTTTGTAGCCTCGAGTTCGACCGGGTAGATGTAAAATGTATTGCTCTGGTAGCTTGATAAGCAACTTACTCCTAAATGCAGTTCTAAACAAATCTCAACCAATGACTGGTACTTACTATTATAGCGGTATCAGGGCAATCAAACTGTTCTGACCTTCAATTTCTGAGCACCAACCCTTACTGAAATGGCAAAACGGCTGGAAGAACTTCCCTGTCACAAGGACTACTACACAACACTCACTTCAGATTTTGACATACAACGCATGGAAGACAGTGTCACATGAATTGATTGTTACATCTTGACAGGAAGTGCGGTTCAAGTGTTCAAAGTGGAGTTTAAAGTCAACAGCTAAAGATGTTCACAATACTTAACTTTCAACATTCTCACAATAGCAAGCTGTTATTAGGAGAATACTACATTTACCCATCTCAAAGTGAATGTTTTATTTGAATACAAGATTATGACTGTATCAGGTTCTATATATGATTGAAACCCATATCCTAAAAGGCTCGGCAGCTACACGGAAAGTTGAGTTTAGTTGGCAAATTTTATAAAACGTTTAAGGCAATTTGAAACTTCGCAGAGGATCCACCAGACCACTTTGGGTCCAGAGCCTTTATTTTGGAAAAAGCTGCATTTCCAATATTGAAAACAATATTTATGCACGTCCAAATCATCTAAGAACAGTATATATATGGAACGTTAGTCCCCCAAGTATGCGTAAAGGTACACTGGCGTGCCGCGAGTTGTCTTCAGGTCCACCGAAAAAGTAGTAGTCAGGCCAACCGAAAGTATAGTTTGAAAAGTCCCTTGCTATAAAAGTTATTCAAGACGACACACTATGTATATTGGTGATATTAACATACGTGACACAGTGTTACCAGTGTTACGACTAGCCACCATGATTTTCACAAAGGGGTTGAAATGCTCGGAATCTTACACATTCAAAGTCTTAGAACATTCACATGCAAGAGCTTTGGGGCTGAAATAATTGACCGTTTGAAAAAATCGAGAGATGCGGGGGTATAAAATCTGAACGAGTACTCCCGCTGGGCTCCCAAAACAATTTATGTGCTTTTTTTCTTTTTCTATGTTAGTTCTTATATAACTGTAGCTTTAGTTGAGAGATTGATAGGTTCTTGTCATTTAAAGTGTTCCAGGTAGTTATGGCTCTCATTTTTTCAACTAATGCTGTTAGGCGACAACATAGAAACAATTACACCTTTTCTTTTATGCATATAAACAAAAGCACATTGGTTTACAGTGTTCCTACATATTGTTTTTTCCATATTGTACATATTTATGATGGATCTTGTCACTGCACATTGGTATTTGCATATTATTTCACGTATTGAGAATTAGGTATAGGCTTATGATCCACTTTGATGACTCTTACTCGATTGAGATAATAATTTGTGATTGCGATCTGGTGTCTTTCTCAATTATCCCTTTGTGCATATTTTTGCAAACAGTTGTTGGGACAGCACCTTGTTCTCCAGTATTTGGTGAAATGGTCTTTTGTATTGTAGATTCAGTGTTAACTTATAGAGATGGGTTAGGATAGGAATTAAGTAATTAGGTCTATAACCTAACCTGCATTTATTGTGCATTTAGGTATATATGTATCTGATTAAATAAGGTTTGTAAGCGTTGTAGTCAAAACTATTTTAAATCACATGACCTCACACGACTACATACGATTGGCCACAATATCACTTTATATGTTGAATGGAGTCAACAAAGCAAGTTTATTTCGGAACTTTGTCTGGTTGTGTGCATGAGAAATTCAGCGTCTGTCAGGGTATTCAAACCCAGAAAGCAAGCTTCCCATTAGTGACTCAACAGAAGAATTCTTGACACCACAAATACTTGCTAATTGAAGTCAGGGAGTGTGTGCTATAGAACTTTTAGTTCCATGTGATCCCTTATTTCAGCCCTGATTTTGCCCCTCTATTTTATACATAGAAGCACCATTATATTCCGTCACCCTTGTTTAATTCAATAAACTTTTTGCGGGGGTGTCCTTCATGGCGTGATAAAAACAATGGACACAACTATTCAATAACGAAGTCCCAAATTGTTGAGAGAGCTAGTCTTTTTATTTCACCAATGCAATGATTGTTGGAAAATTTTTGCTTATAATCAGCAGCAAGATAAAGACAACGCATAGTATAAGAGCGTCAAATAAAAACTCAAGTATGCATTTCAAAAAAACAACATCAACAAAACTCTTGGTAAAAACAGTTTAACACTAAACTTGACATTTGCTTTGACTTCGACTAACCCAATATCCGGATAACCCATAGCATTCTCCATCTGTGTTTCGTGCATGATTCTGCCTTGGTTTCCCTAATTTTTGCTCAACTTCCTTTTGATAATTTGGACGAGTCAGGAGTCTTCCTTCAACCGAACTTCTTATGATTCTGGAAAACTGACTAAGACTCATACAGCGAACTTATTCGTGATATGCCACGGATATTTTCGCTACCCGCTGGTCCTGCGCCTAAGAGATTGCAGATATGATTCTAGAAGCTATCAATCTACATCTGCTGCATAAACGGCAAAGTTTTGAATTACGTATACTGTATGAAAACAAATATAGTCTTCGTGTAAATTTACCTTTCTATGTAGCATGTAAGAAATTTTCAATTGTTACTTGCAAATTCTCGAAAATGCACTGAAGTAATTTTGATAGTGGACTTCAACCTTTGAAGGAACACAGGTATTTTTCCACCTGCATAAAACAATGATCTCATGTTCTTAAAACAAAGATATCATCGATATATCCACGAAATCTATGCTATTCTAATCTATTTTGCTATATATTTACAATACATTCGACGTTGATTACTGCGCCGATGCTATAAACCGGAAACAATATTAATATTGCTCGACCAAAATTTCTTCTATCAAAAACGAAACGAACTAGATTCTAATTGGTCAAAAATAACCTTTCCGAAAAAGTGATAAATAAAGATAGAGGATTTATCCACAAAACGGACAAATTCCAAAAGCCTTCAAATGTAATAACTTAACCCAAAATGTAAGGCGGAGAGCGAAAAGGGGAGAGAAGGTAGGAATATGATAGGGGACAACCCGCAACTATCCCATCCAAGGTACAGTTTATACTTTATGTCGTATCTTGTACTTTCTACACTTTGATTGTTGAGTTATTGTTTGTTTATTTAAACGGAGCAATGAAAATTGACAGATTGCAAAAAGGTAGTTTAACCGTTATACCAAATTAACAGGATTCCCAATTGAACACGTATAACTTCTGATTAATATATTGCTTTATATTGGAGTCCAGATTTTCGAAGTCTAATAAATACCAAAGGTCGCAAAGTAGCCAACAGGATATCGGATAAGTTCGCAGATAGAAGACAATTCATAGCAGCAACACAACTTTCTACGTTACAAGCTGGGCAGGATATGTTTCAATCTTAATTTAGCATTTCATAAAATCAAACTTATTATCCAGATTAAACATTCATTTTATGAGGGATAAATGTATTGTTGTTATAACTCTATATAGGGATCGAAAACAATAACCGGTTATTAAATGCACAAAATCTTTATTAATAATATCTTCTTTTGTGTGAATAAAAAACGTAGGTTATTCATAATAATTGAAATTGATAATGTTGCTCTTTTTTCAAATTTATTTGCATGTAGAAAGGTAAAGCTCTTCATTTTCCCATCCATGCTTCCATTTGGCGAAAGTATTGTGGACATAGAGAGCATCTTCAGCAGTCGACTTTGTACTCCCTTTGAACACTTCAACCGCTCTTCCTATCAATATGCAATGGGAGTTATGTATTGCTTTGCGCTATTCTAATTCAAGGCAGTAAGTCATTCAAGAGACAGTGTCTCGTCGGGGACTATAAAATATCGAATCTTGTATTTACTTCATTTACCGAATACAACATATTGAGATATTTTTAGCAGCGCTCAAAGTAAAGTTATAAAACATGCTCTCATCGAGTTTACGGGGCCTAGTTCGATGAAATTTCGCATAAAAATAATATTCGGCTACAATAGTCTTTGCTTGATATTGAAAATCCTATGTATGACCAGCATGATTCACTGATGAATCTATTGTTGTTATATATCGACCTTGAAAAATAGCAGCTATGGCATTGCTCTTTACATCGATTTTCATTGAACAAAAAGTGACGTGAAAATATCTCCATGCATCATTTTTTTTTCTATTTTGGTATATTCAAGTTAGTTGCACAATAGACGAGATGAAATCACAGTTTACTGAATGGAAATTTTGGAAACAATCTTTCTCCCCTCAAGTTTGTCTACTTGAATACTTTCCTGATCATATACAAGTTGTAAAGCCCTTACCATTTTCATTGCACCAAACATGGATGATCACATTTCCATCACACGAATAAAAGACATGGTCCATATCCACGAATGAATTGAATTCTAAATTAAGTTCAAATGCATTTATTTTAGTTGGATTTTTCCAAAACACCGTGTTTTAAAACAAGGACTTGTTTTTCATAGCAATTTTCTCCGTATTGTTTTTTATTATTTATTGAAATACCCGTTGGAATGACGCAAAATACGCCAAAATGGTTTGTTTTGGCGGCCCTGCTAAACACAATTCAAAATCAGGTGGATTGTAAACCGCTCACCGCATAAATCTGGTGAAGTTTTCGTCATTGTGGTAACACAACAAGAGAGCAGGCTCAAATATGTGAACACAAAGATAAAAACAAAGTAGTAGTAGTAATCTACTACAGTATTGGGAGTCTGACCACCAGTTCACCGAGATGTAGTCATGAAATCCCGACACCCAATGTTTATTTTGATGACGTCACCACACAAATCTTCTAAGGTAAAACAAATTCCATGGAGCCAACAGATATCCTCGAATTCAATTTGAATACTTTCCTAGCGACAACAAACTTCAACCACTGAAAACTTCAAAGAAATTGGTCAAGTGGTTGAAGAAATGAGTGTTGTTGTTTTTTTACAATAATAACCAAACAACAGAGCAATGCTCAAATACATGGATACAAAAGACAAAATTAGGCAGTATCAAATCTTTTACAGTACAGGTAGTCTGACCACCATGCCACTAAGATGTGATCACGAAACCCTGGCGGCTGGCGCAGTGCGCAATTTTCAATTCTGATGACAACATCGCATACGAAAAACGAACCCTATATGGAGACCACAGACATTTTTGAAAGAACTCAAAATAATAATACTAATAGGGAAATATACAATCTTTCACCACTGAAAATTTCATTGGTCAATATCATTACAAGTCATTATCAAGTAGTTAAAAAGGATAAAAAAAAATTCTCATAACGATGAAAAGAAAAATACCAACAAAAAAACAAAATGAACAACAACAACATATTAACAAAACGATTGATATGTTCGCTTCGAGTTCAATGAAAAATGATTTCATACGTCCACTTCATGTCCAATAACGAAGAGTATATGCTTGTCTTGGCGGCAACCTGCGTCAAATACCTACTATGTTCAAATTCGAGAAAAGTTCCCGCCGTGAAAGAGTGGTTCACGTAATAATTTGTCAAAAGCTTGTGGTCATATACGGACAAGTAGTGATTGATATCTGTAGCGTTTCGAGGGATATATTGACGATAAGAATTGATTAGGCAAGTTTTAACATTCACTTTTGTTAACATCCGATCAAAAATCCAACCAGACAATGTCATGGCGGGTTAATCTTGAAATATAAAGTGCACTTTTTCAATTTTAATAAAAAAAAAGTTTGTTAATAAACAGCACCTTTAATAGAATCAACGCCGTTCCTTGTTTCTTCCCTTCAATAATGAATTTGTCATGTTGTATTACGTCTAACGAAAGAGTGTTAGAAAAAAAAGCAAATGTAAGTTATATTGTTATGATAATCTATAATACTGATTTTTAGTATACGATAAGATTTATATTATCCATTGCATCATCTCCAAAAATTTCTTTCGCCACTGTATACTTAATGTATATATGTTTCACATATGCAAGGACATAAAAAAATTATAAAACAATTTCAGCCATATAAATATAACATTTTTATCTAGGTCGGAAGAGAGATGATGAGACGGATAAATTATACATATAGAAAAAGTGGGCGACAGTCAGATAGCTTGACAATAGTTAAAATTGGGTCCATGTGCATAATGCAAAGAAATACTATATTAAAAAAACTATATTATACCTAACAGCAAATTACTGAGCTCTATATTGTCTTCTGACAAACAACAGATCATCAGCTATACTACTGCTCAACTAATCTACTACTATTTCCCTCTAAACTGCTTGTTCAAACTAGAGGATCAAGACCGTTTATACCTTGACGAGCTTCTTCCGATATGATTATTCTGTAGATGCCTGTATTTTGCTTTTGGAAAACGCCATTGAAAGAGGCGTGACCAAACGTCTCACTGAAATTTGAAAAAAATTCAAATTATTCGTTTCAAATAGCTTATCATGCAAATATAAATTATAATTTCCTAAAAATTTCATCACATATTGCTACACTTAGTTGCTTCACTATGCATGATAAAATATACAACATAACACAATAGGTTATTTTTCGCTCCCAGAAGTTAAGCTACTACTATTTCTGAATTGACTACTTCTGTCCAAATGAAGCAGAGGAGATCAATAAACAGTCTCATGTCACTCAAAATTGCCTCAACCCTACATGGAACATTAGCAGTCCTTGACATGTTTCAATAATTGTTGTAATATATTTTTTCAGTTGTGTCTACAAATGGTTTTAAAAATTATTTTAGAAAATTTTATTCGAGTCTATATAATACCGACCTAAGGAAACGATCTTACAATTCAAAACTTGTATATTTTCAGGGATGTGCCAATATATTTGTTGTGTATATTTATGATATTGAATATCGTGCATATTAATATTGAACGGTTATAGTTTAACCAATATTCTATATGATATTTGCATTTCGTTATATGTATATCTTCATGTATCCTGCAAATCAAAAAATATCAGAAATTCATAATAAAAATTTGACAATTTATAATGAACTTACGAGTAACTCGTAAAATTTATTTTCATCTGCTGTGTGTTGCCTATAGATCGTATATTCGTTAGAGTTCGACATGATGTTACTTGGTTAAACGGATCATTCTCGCCAAATACCTGGTATAACTTGTCCGGCATCTGAACAGAAGAAACATAGGATCATACTGCTTAACTTGTATCTGAGGAAAATAAAGATCCGAAGATGGCATATTCTTTTTTTTACAAAGAATTGTTTCAAACTTAAGATGAATAAACAAATAATAGGACAACATCGCAATAAATCGCATCAATGCGATACTACGAACAATGAAGTAGAATATTGGGTGCTTCAAAAGTATGCACACCAAGATGTCGCATAACCTGAACCCTAACCTGGTACACAACCTGAGTTCAGGTTGTGCGCCATCTTGGTGCGCATACTTCAAGAGGTCCGAATATTGTGACAAAATATATTGGATTGAAAATTTAGTTCAATCCGTTCAAAATTTAACTTAATAATAATGCGCCTATGTTCAAAAATTGTTCTTTTTAACTCCTAGACTCTTCCTCTTTAAATCTGCAGTACGTAAGTCAAAAATGACTCAAAGAAATAAATTTCAGCCCACACAATTTGCAAAACCGATAAATTATTTTTCAGTATCGTGAATTTCTTAGCCATTGAAGATTGCATGAGCATAGAGGCAGTAAGATGTTCAGTGTCATGTTCATGAGAACTCTCTACCACCTTTGTAATTAGTGTAAATATCAAGGACAGCAAAAATGTAAATATGTGTTAGGCTGAATATCTCCGACAAAGTTGCATTTGCGGTTACATCCGCCAAATACCGTTCGCCTAGCACAGGGGTGGCCAACCTACTTTTGTCCTCGATCGACTAAAATCTTCAAAATAGACACCCTACACAAAAACGAATGGGCACTGAATGTGCAGATAACTGCACACACGCTCACAAAAATTCCACCGCTGCCAATAAGAAGGCTTCATGGGCATATTAATATTAAAATCGACACAACATTTGTATTTTTTATGTTTAATTTAAGTTGTTGATTTGATCATTTGATTGTACCCGCAGTGTATGTTTCATTATCTAATTGAGATTTATTTAAATTATACAATTCAGATAAAGGACGGGCCTAATTTTTAGTCGTAAGTATTGAAAATTTTAAGAAATCATGCCAAGTATTATACAAACAGCGAAAAATAAATATTCTCAAACTATGAATGTTACATGACTGCTCAAACTTCAGTATCTTATTCACAATTTCCTCCAAACGCGATTCTTCGCTTGCTTAGAATTAGAACAAATTGGGCATTTTGATGCCACTGCTACCATTGCGAATAAAATTTATCACACTACTCTTGGATTGAGACAATAACTTTCGCATACTGCGGAAGTTATTGTAGGATCGTTTGTCAGACTAGAGTCTAGACACGCGATATTCGGCACTTCATTTTTAAACCTTGGTAGCGGGAAAACTTGCATTTGTTACGTGATAATATGCTTAATCGGGCTTGCCCAGACTCAAATACTGTATGTGTATATTGTATTTTGCGCATGTGAAGTACGGTATTCGTCCTGTTGCAAAACACACAACTAATTCAAGGTAATTTTGGGAGATATTTCAAAAAAAAAATTCACTCAACATCAGACGCGATGGACTGCTCGAGAAGTGGCGATCGACGTGTGTGTTGGATTTCCATGGCCTAGCACAACGATTCTTAATTATTGACGATGGGCGATGACAATGTGTAGGAGTGCTGTTTAAGGGTAACGGTGCATGAACGTTTGAGTACGTACCGTAGCAATCTCTAATACTTTTACAATGGGGAATTTCTCCTACTGCTAGTATATATACTACAACTTATAACATTCCCGGATTTGAGTTTGACGGGATAGGAACATGCTGTACTTCTCATTACACAATCTCGACATCGTTGGACTAGAAGACTACACAATTTGATATCCGTAGCCTCGAGTTCGACGAGTATAGATATAAAATTATTGCTCAAGTAGCTGGATAAGCAACTTACCTCTAAATGCAGTTCTAAAGAAAACTCAACTAATGACAGGTACTTACTATCAGTATCAGGGTAATCACTCTGACCTAACCTTTGAGCATCAACCTTCACTTAAATGACAAATTGGCCATTTTTCTTAATCACTTATTTTTCGGTCATTGCGGTTTCGTTGGATAATTATGTTATTATCGCATGCGATTCCGTAGTGATTGTTCCTTCAATCGCACAAGACCTTATTGTAAACCACATTAATTAAAAGCTTTTGCGAACCATATGCGGACCGGATCGCCCGTATATGATGAGGTGACTTAAGGAGTTTCCTAAGTTTCAGGCAAAATATCACTGTCCACTGTTATTGCCAAAACACAATGAACGTTG